AATGAACAATAACCTTTGGGGTGATCTTCTCAGCTGAACAGAAACAATTTGCGTCTCTACTGGACAAAAATCACTTGAAGTTTATTAATCTCCTATGTGTTAGCACTGACGTCACAGAATCTAGGTCTCAAGCAGACAAAGGAATATTCCCCCAGAAAATGTGAGAATTAAGTTGGCCTTTTCGGCAACACTTCAATGTAATGTTCAAAAGAAATGCAGCCATTCTTTTGAGTAACTTACAAGTTTTGGGCAATTTCCTCCTTCATACAAAGGGCGGGTCAAAAGACAGGAGGGGGTTGGTGGAATGGGTGATGAGGCCAGAGAAGGAAGACAGGGGCCAGACCACGGAGGGAGTGGAGTTTGGACCTTTCTCTGGAGGGATACTGAGCCACTGAGTGACTTTTAAAAGATGTGAACAATGATGAGGTGGGAACCACCCCGACCTCTCCTGCATACGGGGCTAGGAGGGTGCCAGTCTATGTGTAGCCCAGATGAGCTACGAGGACCTGAATTAAAGCCCCACTGGCGAGTGAAGGTGTCCAGTGAAAGTTTACATTGCCATTTTGATACCAAAGAGCCAGATTCTCCTTAAATACCCATCTTCATGTATAAGTCTTTTTCTTTTTTTTTAAGATTTTATTTATTTATTTGACAGAGAGAGAGGGAACACAAGCAGGGGGAGTGGGAGAGGGAGAAGCAGGCTTCCCGCTGAGCAGGGAGCTGGATGCGGGGCTCAATCCCAGGACCCTGAGATCATGACCTGAGCCGAAGGCAGATGCTTAAAACTGAGCCCCTCAGGTGCCCCTCATATATAAGTCTTGTTGCACAGACATCCTCACCAATTCCTGACTCTCCATGTCCAACTGCATGGAGGGTCTCAGATGCTCCCACTAGCAAAGTTCCTCTCATTTGTCTTCCTACGATCCGTGGAGTCCTGAAGCAATCAAATCCCCATTTGTCATCTAAGCTGATTATACTCTCCTCACATCTGAAAAATCTGCCCTAAATCGGATCTTTCATTCTGCATGCCTGCCACACATACATCACCACCCCCACCCCCACCAGCACATACTCAGAATCAAAGCAAGGCTCTCCAACGCTTTGCTGGAGTCATCAGCATGTCTGCCTTCCATCAGTGGCCTGCAGGCGGTGGACATTACTCCAAATTCATAATGAGACTCATTGATATTGCAGCCAGGTGGAGAGCGTTTTAGTTCTGCAGGCTGCTACCTTTTAGTTGAAATCACCAGATATAATCCATACGCTTCTGTGATGGTAAATATCTGGTCAGTTCTGGGTGTATGTGTGTGTGAGGGTGTTCCTGGAGGAGATTAACATTTGGACCCCTGGACCGAGTGAAGCGGATTGCCCTCTCTGATGTGGGGAGGCCTCATTGGATCCACTGCAGGCCTGCAGAGAAGAAAAAGGCTAAGTAAGAGATCATTCTTTCTGCCTGACTGCCTTCAGGCTGGCTTGCCCCCCGCTTCCAGACTGGAACTGAAATATCAGCTCTTCTAGGAACTCAAGCCTGCCAGGCTTCAGACTGGAACCAAGCCATCAGCTCTGGTTCTCAGGCCTTCGGGTTCAAACTGTACATACAGGTCGCAGATCTGTTGGTTCTGTGTTTCTGGAGAATCCTGACTTATTTTATAGCTTCTTCCCCTTGTTTCATCTCTGAAGTTTTGCTTCTTTTACTCCTGCTTTCCCTTTTCTTCCCTTTTCCAAACACCATTCCCTCTCTCCACCTGGCATAATGGCTCATGCTATCTTTTATTCAGGGATTACTGTGTTTCTGAGCTGCCCAGGGGAACAGGGAGAAAAAGGGGCCATCCTGAAATCTGTTCAAATACATGAATATATTTCTCCATAGTTTTTTAAATAATCACAAAGTAATATATGCTCATTGTGGAAAATTAAGAAAATGTAGAAAAAGGAAAAAAAAAAGAAAGAAAGAAAATAGGCACTTAGACTCTCACCTCTCAGTAAAAGCAAGGTGGACACTCTGGTGAATTTCCGTCACAGTTCACCTCCAGACGGCCACTGTTCTATGTGAACGTCTCTCTATTCTTCCCGTTTCATTCTGTTCTTTCTACTTCACATTGTAACACGGACACTTTGTCATGTTAGTTAAGGTTTCTCGACTGTCCTATTTAGGTTCCAACATGTCACTGCTATAAACATTATACTCCAACAGCAAAACTCCAATACCAATATTCTAAATAGTGTGATCGAACAGGATACTCTACAGTGATTCCAGAGAGCCATAAACAGCAATGTTATCAACAGTCTCATACTTAACTCCTTTTTGACCGATATAACTTATTTGTTTATTCTTACTGTTTTCTTACTGCTTTTATTTTTTTATTTTGTAGTTTCACGTTTTTATTTAAATTCCCATTAACATACAGTGTAATATTAGTTTTAGGTTTAGAATTTAGTGGTTCATCATTTACATACAACACTCAGTGCTCACCACGAGTGCCCTCCTTAATGCCCATCACCCATTTAGCCTATCCCCCCACCCTCCTTAACGACTGAGCCACCCAGGTGCCCCTATTTTTAACTTTTTGAGGAAACTCCATCCTGTTTTCCAGAGGGGCTGCACCAGTTTGCATTCCCACCAACAGAGCAAGAGGGTTCCCCTTTTTCCACATCCTCACCAACACCTGATGTTTCCTGTGTTGTTGATTTTACTCAGTCTGACAGGTGTGAGGTGATATCTCATTGCAGTCTTGATTTGTATTTCCATGATGATGAGTGATGTTGAGCATCTTTTCATGTGTCTGTTGGACATCTGGATGTCTTCTTCGGAAAAATGTCTATTCATGTCTTCTGCCCATTTTTTAACTGGGTTGTTTTTTGGGTGTTGAGTTTAATAAGTTCTGTTTTTAAAAGCTTTCCAATATATTAAACTGCACTTCTATATTTCCTTATAAAATTTCCCTCTCTCAGACTCTAATTTGCCTTTTGATGTCATTTGGTATTATTATTATTATTTTTTAAAGATTTTATTTATT